AGATCGCACCGCTGCACTCCAGCCTGGATGACAGAGCGAGACTGCATCTCAAAAAAAAAATTTTTTTTTTTGCTATGTGTGCTTTATTAAAATGTAGCCATCCATCCATGGCACTTTTTTTTGTTTTGTTTTGTTTTTGAGACAGGATCTCACTCTGCTGCCCGGACTGGAGTGCAGTGGTGTGATCACAGCTCCCTGCAACCTTAACTACCCAGGCTGAAGCAATCCTTCTACATTAGCCTCCAGAGTAGTTGGGACTATAGGGTTCAAACAATCCTCCCACCTCAGGCTCCCAAAGAGCTGGGATTACAGGTGTGAGCCACAGCACCCAGCACTCCCATTTGTGTGTGTGTATTTCAAAATAAATTATTGGCTGGGCGTGGTGGCTCATGCCTGTAATCCCAGCACTTTGGGAGGCTGAGGCGGGCAGATCACGAGGTTAGGAGTTCAAGACCAGCCTGGGCAACATGGTGAAACCCTGTCTCTACTAAAAATACTAAAAATTCAAAAATTAGCCAGGCGTGGTGGCGGGCGCCTGTAATCCCAAGCTACTCAGGAGGCTGAGGCAGGAGCATTGCATGAGCCCAGGAGGCAGAGGTTGCAGTGAGCTGAGATCGTGCCACTTGCATGCCAGGCTGGGCGATAGAGCGAGACTTTATCTCAAAAAAAAAAAAAAGTATAGACATCAGTACATTTCAGCTGTACATTTCAATATGCATGTCATTTACTGACAAGCCATTATTTTTTAAGACTTTTGATTTAGAGTATTAAATTTCTTACAGGAAATATATACCAGTTTTAATGTCCATCTGCTGTGGGTATATGTGTCTGTTTCACCACAACCTTGACAACACTGGGTATGATCTTTTTAAAGGTGTTTTACTTTCCACTTTGATTTAACATTTTTCCTCCTGAGGACCCCAGTGGATTTCCCATCCCGATGTCCAGATGGTCTGTTAAAAAGCTGTGTGCCATTCCAGCTCTCTAGGTATTTCTGATGTGACTTTCCTGGGGGCAGGACTCAGCTCTTTCTCAGGTCTGTTCCTGTTTCCACCCTGGTCTGTTCCTGTTTCCACCCTGGATGTCCCGGGCCTGCGTGGTGAGGGAGCAGGGCCATGAATAGGACTTCCTGGTGTAGGAGCTCACTATGGGCAATCTGTGTGGGGAAAATGGGCAAACTTTGGAGGCCCACTTTGGATGCCAGAGGTCCTGGGACCTAGGAGGCTGCATGTGGTGGAGGGTAGAGCCAGGCACTCATGGCAGTGTGACCTGGCCCTTTGTGTTTCCTCACCTGCACGGTGGGTAATGCTTCTGGATATATCAACATGAGGTATATAGGCTGCTGCAAGAGCCCCCCACCCCACCTTCGCCTTCAACCTTCAGTTTTCTCATGGACCATGTACCTACTTGCCTCTGGGCACTTGTATCTCTGTGATTTCTATGGGCCAGGAATTTGGGAGCAGTATGGCTGAGTGACTGTGACTTAGAGTTTCTTATGAGGTTGTACCCAAGATATTGGCCAGTCTACAGTCAGCTAAGAGTTTGACTAGAGATGGAGCATCTGTTTCCATAGTGGCTTACTCACACGGCCAGCATGTGGTGCTAGCTGTTGGCTGGCGGCCTCAGATTCTCTCCATGTGGGTTTCTGTGTGTGACTGCTTGAGCATCCTCACAACATGGCGACTGGCTTTCCCCAGCATGACCTCAGAGAACAAGGTGGAAACCATGATGCTTTTTATGACCAAGCTTTAGAAGTCCTACACTGTCACTTCTTCTTCTTCTTTTTTTTGAGACGGAGCATCACTCTGTCACCCAGGCTGGAGTGCAGTAGCGCAATCTCAGCTCACTGCAAACTCCGCCTCCCGGGTTCAAGTGAGTCTCCTGCTTCAGCCTCCCGGGTAACTGGGATTACAGGTGCCTGCCACCATGCCCAGCTAATTTTTGTAGTTTCAGTAGAGATGGGGTTTCACCATGTTGGCCAGGCTGGTCTTGAACTCCTGACCTCGTGATCCACCCGCCTTGGCCTCCCAAAGTGCTGGGATTACAGACAGGAGCCACCAAGCCCGGCCCATCACTTCTTCTTTACTCTGCTAACCACACGGATCAACCTTGATTCGTTGTGGGAAGGGACCACACCAGGGTATGGATAAAAGGGGGGAAGGATTATTGATGGTCATCTTGGAGGACACCTATCAGGCATAACCTTGGTACATGATTTCACCTCTGTGGAGCTCAGTCTCCTCTGTCAAATGGGTTCATGCAAAAAAATTCATTAGTTGATTCCTGTGAATGCTTAGAATGGTGTTGGACATTTAGTTTCCTCTTAATAAATATTAGCCACCACTGTCATCCCCTGCTGGGCTCTGAGCCCTCTGTTGTTAATCTCTATGCAGTGCCTGGCTCAGAGTAGGCACCCTCTGAATCTTTATTAAATCAGTGAGTGAAAGAATGAATGAGGCTGGATATGGTGGCTCATGCTTTGGGAGACTGAGGCAGGTGGATCACTTGAGTCTAGGAGTTCGAGACCAGCCTGGACAACATGGTGAAACCCTGTCTCTACAAAAATAACACACAAAAAAATTAGCTGGGCTAATGTAGCTGGGACTACACATACCTGTAGTCTCAGCTACTCAGGAGGCTGAGGTGGGAGGATCACTTGAGCCTGGGAGGCCAAGGCTGCAGTGAGCTATGATCACGCCACTGCAGTCCAGCCTGGGCAATAGAGTGAGATCCTGTATCCAAAAAAAAAAAAAAAAAAGAAGAAGAAGAAAGAGAGAAGAGAGGGAGAGAAAGAGAATGAATAGCTGTAAAGACTAGGAATACATGGAGAAGAAAGAGATCTGTTTACCACATTGCCAGAGAATCCTTTGTGATAAACTTTCTCAAGTGAGGCCCTTTGACCAGTGTCTAGAAAACAAATATTTGTTCAAAACTGAACTGAGGTGGTGGTGGAAAGGACATAGGATGCATTCTGAGCGACCTGGGTTTCAGTCGTGTACTTGGTGTCCGAAGAATAAATATTTACAGAGTCCTGACTCTGGGCCAGATACCATGTCAGACCTGGGAAAACCTGGGGTGGGGAGCAGCTCTGGTGCATGCCCTGGCAGCATCCTTGCTGTGTGACCTTGGGCAAGCGAATCTATGTCTCTGAATCTGCATTTCTTTGTCTGTAAAAGTAGTGGGGTTGGGGGGACATGGATCCCTGCTGGAAAGAGAAACCTCCTTTAACAGGTATGCCTGACTCCAGGATCCAGCTGCTGCCCACCCCCTTCTTACAACCCCTGACATGTTCGGAATCTCCAGGCAGAGGACAGAAAACCTGCATGGGTCAGATGAGCAGGGCCTGGCCGAGGGCAGTGGGTGTTAGGGTCTAGTGGTACCCCCTACGCCTAGTACTCCAGCCCTGTAAGGGTTAAAACCCAGCTAGCTCATGTGACCTGATGTAAACCATGAATCATTCCCATTGCTCCTAGTGCTGAGCCTGCTGCCCAGGACGGGGCAGATGCTGTGCCCCGGGTTGCCATGGCAACTCCACCTGTACTGAAATACAGCCCGCCTCAGTCCTTCCTGGGGCGACCTCAGGGGCTGTCTCACCTGGCCCAGTGTTGCCTTCCAGAGAGGGAGGGAGAGACAGCTGAAAAGGAGAGAGAGGAGAGAAGCTTAGAGACAAGCAAGTGGAAGTTGAGACACAGGGAGAGGGAGGAGAGCGAGGTTGGGAAATCAACAGAAACAGACCACGAGAGGGAGACAGACTGACAGCCGACCAGAGGTCCCAAGACACTGCCTGTAACCGTAGAGGCAGAAGCCGTTTCCCAGCAGTGCTAACCTTCCCCGGGGCTGCCAGATCTCCGACATACAGGCACACACACACACGTGCACACACATGCACACACGTGCAGCCGCATTTCCTGGTGCGCTTTTGCGGTGAGGGCACAGGGGTGGGTAGGCTGGCAAGCACGTGAAGTTGCCATCAGCCCCGAGGGACCGTGAGCGAGTTGGGACTTGGGGGAGAAAAAAATGGGGGCGGACGTCAGCTCCCTGGGCGGCCACCGCCACCGCCTCCGCCTCCCCGAGGCCCCTCCTGCATTCCTGGGCAGCGAAGCCCCTCGCTAAGACGGGGGCTGATGTCATCCCGGGCTGCTCAGCCAGGGGACCCGGGGGCCCTGGTGGCTGCCTCCGGAAGTGAGCTAGCCGCCTGCCGGCCGACAGGTTTGGAATCTCCAGCCAAAGGACAGAAAACCTGCATGGGTCAGGTGAGCGGGGTCTGGCCGAGGGCAGCCGGGCAGGGGGCAGCAGGGCGCGGCAGCTTGCCCACCGGAACCTTC